ATGATGCTTAAATTTTTGCTTTGGTGACTGCGCATACACCAAAGTTTTTAGCAGTGGTTTGTTTCTGGGTAATTGGAATTATGGGAATTTTTCTTTTCTCTTCTGTTTTTTCTGTAATGCCTATAGATTGCTTTTGTAATCACAACAAATGGAATTTTAAGGTAAGAAGATCACATCTAGAGGGGCCTTGAATTTGCACTGTAGTACTAGTCTCAACTAACTATTACACTGTTCTAGCTCTTCCTTTTTATTTTACAGGTAGACCTAGCCCCAGAGAGGTTAAATAATTTTTCCAAGGTCATATAGTCAGTGGTTGATTATGGATTAAAATTTAGGTCCTGATGCTTAGTACTTTATACTTTTCCAAGAAATAATGCTTACTTTCCTCTTGAAAGGCCAGGCTTTTAGATTCTCTTAATGAGGGGAAACTGGTTTTTGGGCAATGTTATGTGGCAGATTCTGTTTAGTGCTTTTTACATCCCAGTTCAAGATGATCTATTGATTTTCAGAATCCATGTTACTTGGATAAAAGTCTTGGATTGGAATTATAGCAATACCAGTGGGGATCAAGTTTCTGTGAGTCTTGAATGCCAGGATAAAAGAGTATGGCTTTTATGGGAGAGCCACTGAAAAAATTCCTTTGGCAAATGACATACTTGGGCATGCTCATTTGTTTCTCTAATTCTTAAGTTTATGAAGGTAATATGTGCTTTAAAAATTATTAATTACTATTGCTTTTTTTTTTTTTTTTGGCAGAGGGGCGGTAATTGGGTTTTATTATTTATTTTTAGAGGAGGTACTGGAGACTGAACCCAGGACCTCGTGCATGCTAAGTATTTGCTATACCTTCCCCCGGAAATGTGTGCTTTTTAAAAGAACTCAAACAGTACTGCTTTAGAGGCAGTATTGCAGAAGGCTGAAGAGTAGAAACTCTAGAACCACACTGCTTTGATTTTACTGCATTCAAACTAGTTTTTACTGCTGTGTGACCTTGTGCCTTAGGTTCTTGATCTGCAAAATGTAGATAATAATAAAGCCAGCTTATAGAGTCTTCTTTTAAAATTGAGGTTGATCCAGAGTTGTTTAAGAATTCTATGGGTTAATATGTGTAAAACTTCTAAGCTTTATAAGCTGTTTCTGCTGTAGTTGTTTAGGGAAAAAAGTGAGTCTCTGACTCCCATCTCAAGTTCTCTTTTATGCTGAAGTGATCACTGCTTATAGTTTATTTTTTCTGAAATGTTTTATGTAGAAGCTGTAGAAGTTTCTTTAATGTTCATTAAACAAACCTTTAGGGTTAATATTCTTCCTTTAAACAATACTAATGCCCATTGCATGTTGAATAATGAAAACTAGTCTGTGCTGCTTCCACCACTAGTTGAGTTGAATGCATATAGCAGTCATATGTTTGTTCCCAAATTGGCTAATCTCATTGTACTTGTGTTGTGTTTATATTAATTAGATATTATATAAACTAATGATAAATGAGTGTGAAGAGAGAACTGTTGTTTAAATGAAAACTAAGTTAAATGCTTTGGAAAACTTTATGATAAAGGCAAATTAATTGCTGAAGAAATTGTCAAGTTAGGTATGGGTAAGACAATTAAAAGATTATGGGGAGAAATTATGAAAATCTAGAAGGAAGTATGCATTCACATTGCTCCATAGCATCTAAGTGATTTACCTTGGAGTAATCTAAAACCAAAAACCATAAACAATTCATTATAGATATAGCTTATACAAGAACAAGAACCTAGAATTTGAATTAGGGGAGCGGTATTCCAAGAGAATATTTCGTCTTAATACCAAAATATTGATGAACGATATTCTAATTAAAATAGTGTTTACTCTCTCTCTCTCTCTATATATATATATATAATTTTTTCATGATTCTCCATGTTAATGACTGACTTTGATGAACTTACAAACTTCTGTTTTTATATATAAGTCCAGATTTCTCTGTTTAATCCCAAAAGGGATGGGTCCCACTACATTCTGTAACCTTTTTTCTTTTAGTAAATTGGAGATCTAAAAATGTTCTTTTGGAATCAGACTTTGGTTTGCCCAGTGGGCTTTATAGGACCCAATCTAAATGAAATGACAGATTGCAAGTATCTCTGGAATTTTAACAGATACATTGACATGTGAAGATCCAATAAATAACCTTTGTTATCTTGTGAGATTTAAATTGTTCTCTTCCTTAGGACCTTTCTGATTGATGAGATTATAAACTAGATTCATTTTGTGCCAGATAGTTGAATGCCCTCTATGTGAAAGCATCATGGAAGCTACTAATTTTGGTTTGCTGATCTTGCACATATTTCCTAAGGGAAGTAGCTGATGATTGTGTTGGCTAATATCCTAGGATCAGTTTGTATGGTTTTCAGATTTCAGCTGTAATTGTTTGGTATATTGTAACCTAGTTGCTATATGTTAATAGTAACCTGTTAGTTATACATTAATGTAATAACTGCTTGATTTTTTAATTCCATATTAAAACTGGCAGATTTTGTGGGGATGGTATGATTGTGGCAAAACACAAAAGTTCTCCAATTACTAATAATAAAAATGAATAAGTAACTAAAACTCCCCCAAACAACTTTAGGATCAGATGGCTTCACTTGTGAATTCTGTCAAGTATTTAAAGAAAAGTTAATACCTATCCTTCTTAAATTATTCCAAAAAATTAAAGAGGAAGAAATGCTTCCAAACTCATTTAACAAGGCCAGCATTATCCTGATACAAAACCAGACAAAGACACCACAAAAAGGAATATTATAGGCCAGTATCACTGATGAACATAGATGAAAAAATCCACAAGAAATTATTAGCAAACAGAATCCAACACAGATGGTAAGTAAGCTCATCCTTGTGACCATTTTGAAATGTATGTAAGTAGTAAATCACTATAATACACACCTGAAACTAGTATGACACTGTGTCAGTTATTCTTCAATTAAAAAATGAGCTGCAAAAAAAAAACCCACAAAACTTTTTTTTATTGTCATTATTTTGAGAATATCTGAGAAGCTTTGATATTTATCACTTTAATTATATCTAGAGTGATAGTGAAGATTTTAAAAGGCTTTCTGTTGGTATAGCCTAAACTATCACAGAAAGTTTAAAGTTTGTGCTTCTTATGTCCTAAAGTAAATGATTCATTACAAATTTGAGGGAAAGTATTTCTAATTCACTCCCCAACTTCACACAGCAATTTCTTTTTCCATGTTCAAATGACTTTTATAAGAGTGGCCCATCAGCTCAGTACATGTGGATTGTTTTTCATTTATATATAATCTCTTAACAGAAAGTCCTTTTATTAACCCCAAAACTTGGTAGTAGTTTTTAATCTCATAAGTTAAAAAAAATTTTAATTCAAGTATAGTTGATTTACAGTGTTGTGTTAGTTTCAGGTATACAGCAGAGTGATTCAGATATATATATATTCTTTCTCAGATTCTTTTCCATTATAGGTTATTACAAAATACTGAATATAGTTCCCTGTGCTATATATTAGGTCTTTGTTTATCTGTTTTATATATAGTGGTGTGTATATGTTAGTTCCATACCCATAATTTATCCCTCCTCTGCCCTTTCCCCTTTGGTAACCATAAATTAATTTTCTGTATCTGTGAGGCTGTTCTGTTTTGTGATTAACTTCATTTGTATCTTTTTTTTAAGATTCCACATATAATCACAGAAAGGTCTCTGCAGTGAAGTTTGAAAGTGAAATTGGGTGTAGTCTGTCTTAGAGCAAATATACTGGTCACTATAGCACTTGTATATACCAACTTCATTCTTGACTTTTTTTTTTTCTTTACTGTAAACTTTCTTAGTGCTTGTATGCTTCTTAAAGTTCTCCTAATAGAGACTTAGATCTATTTATGCCATAGTTCATTTTTGAGGGTAAGATGCATAGACTTTTTCTGTAACCTTCAACTCTAGTTGTAATGCACTAGTCCTTCCATTTCTTAATTTTTGTTTTTGTTTTTACATTAATGTATGAAAAGGGAGAAGTTGATCTTTGAATATTGTAAATTCTGAGATTAAAGGACTGGGAAAAATTCCGTAGAAGTAAACATGGTTTAAACATGGAAAATATTTTTCCCTCTTTTATTCATTTTGATCTCTTGCTAATTTTGTAGGTTGTTACTCAGAAATTAAAGTACTCTTATTTTAGACTTAAGATTTTTTATGGTAAATATTTAAATGCATGTGAAATTTTAAGACAGCTTCAGATACTTAGAGTAGTAGAGCTGCTGTTCTTTTACCATTTGAGTGGCCTCAGTAATCAACAGTATTGTGAATGGAATTGATTGAATTATCATTGGATTGAAAAGTACAAGCTTCATGGCTTTAATTCTAGAGGCAAGACACTAACATCCATAAATGAGTATCTACAGTGTATTTGCATATCTTATTTACTCCACACAGTGACTCTGCAGGTAGATCTTTTACCCATTTTTCATGAAAGGCCTAGAGAAAGTGAGGGTCACATAGCTGAAGAGTGATAAGAATTTTAATTCAGGTCATTTGAAAATTACCATAACTTTCCATTGATCCTTATAAAGGACTAATTCTTGGCAAGGTAATGAGAATATACAAATTATTAGTCCAAGGCAGTTACTTAAGAAAAATACTCTTAGAATACTCTTGATTATATTAGATTGTCCTAGCTCATTTCAGGTGTCTTAAGGACAACTTAATTTTGTTCACTGCTCATTCCCCAGCACCTCAAACAGTATCCAGAGTATAGTGTATACTCAATAAGTCTATTAAATGAATGAACTTGAATTTATTTTGTTATATTTTAAAATAATAGAATAGTTGCCATAATCTGGGGGGTAGAAATTCTTCTTTTTTTTTTTTTTCACTTTTCCAACAAGTGTTTATTATTAGTTAAGCCATGATTCAGGATCCCAGGTTGGGGATCACTATGTAATCACTATGTAGCCGGGTCTGCCTTCACCACCCCGGGGAGAAGGACGGAGGACAGAGGTGGGGTGGGGTCAGTTCAGATCTTCCCAGGAAACGTGCCATCGGCCCGGCGTTCGTCCCAGGTCGTCACCCAGGATATGGGGCAGAGGGACTTGTACACACACCGGTACCATTCGCACACGGAGATATCACCCCCTTTAGCAGTCATTGCCTTCTCACAGCGGTGGAAGTCCAGGTAGTTCTGCCAGCAGTTCCTGGTCTGGTTCTGGTTGGGGAAGCAGCTGTCAAAAGGGGAAGTCTGGTAGTTCTTGATTTTGGTCTTGATGTCTTCTGCCATAGTGCTGACTCCTAAAGACGCCCCTGCAGCGGCTGGAAGCTCAATGTGACCCTCAGCAAAGACCAGAAATTCTTAGCACTAACGATTTCTTCCATTGTTTGGAGACAAAGTACTCCAAACTTGATGGCAACAAGTTGAAAGGGTTGTTGTTTGTTGGAAATCTCTCTGATGATGAAGATGATGATGGAGGTTATGGAAACTGAGGAAGAATGAATTTGAAACACTAGAGGGGCACAGAAGACTGGGTGACCAAATATAATAGACTAGAGAAAAGATTAAAAAGAGAATTGGGAGGATCGGTTACTAATAAGAAATGAAATGGAAGACAGTATGTGAAAATGATTCAGTTTGAAAGTTTGTTTGATTTTTGCAGTGATGACAGATATTTGAACTGGATGTATGCTATAGATGTCTGGGAATAAGAAGTCAGAAATGAATGGTTAAATCCAAGATTGGTGGAGGCTAATACTGGGAAGGATTGAGCCTTAGAGGACAGCCAATTTTTGGTAATAAGAGAAAAATAATTAAAAAAACAAAAAAGGTTCCAGAAGGAAATAAATCACTAATATTCTTTAGTGGCGGGTTTTTTTGTTTTGTTTTTGAGATATGTTCTTGTTCATCTAAAATGAGAGGATGGGATTGAATGTGTTAGAAAAAAGGAAAATGTGGCTTAATCAAGAATAACTTAGGTGGTATCTTAGCCACTATGTACTAGGCTTTGAGAGCTAATGTATAAATATCTCAGTTCTTGCTATAGGGTTATATAGATGATCTAATTGTGGAAGCTATACATCTAACACTTGTTTCCCAAAAGTGTCAAAATATAAACCAGTGATGGGGAGGGTATATAGCCCAGCGGTAGAGTGCATTCTTAGCATGCACGAGGTCATGGGTTCAATCCCCAGTACCTCCATTAAGTTAAAAAATAATAATAATGATGATGATAATAAATAAACATTACCCCCCCAAAACCCCCAAAAACAAAAAAATTAAAATTAAAAAAATACATAAACCAGTGACTAAAAAATATAATATATTCTTTAGGAAGTTAAGGGGGGAAGAGGTTAGTATGTAACAGGTTTTATAGCTGTAACAGTTTTTTTGCGTTAACCTAGTGAAATTTTTGTTTGCAGATAAGGTAACAGTTGTCAGGAGGTTGATATGCTGGAGACGTCAAAGCTAGTTTTGTAGCAGAGATGTCTCAGTTGGGAAGTTGAGGCTTCAAGGAGGCATTCATTGGTACTTAAACGATCCTTGAAGGCTTAATGAGATTTTTATTTATTGGGTGGAATGGATATGAGTAGAGGAAAATGAGTTTAGAGAACTTGAAGGGGACAAGGATATGCCAAGCAAGAAGACTGGCATAATCAGTGGATTTATATATTGGATTATTAGTATGGAACGAGGTAACTTGATAAGGCCAAAATTAGAAACTTACTATTACTATGAGCTATTATGTTTTTTTTTGAAGAGGACAACATTAGGAAATTAGTGGGCTTTGAAGTATATTCAGTGTTTAAGCAAGTGTTCTAAAATAGAGCACTGTAGCAAATGCCTTCTTCTTTTTTTTTTTTAAGACATCCAAGCCACATTCCAGACCTGCTAAATCATATTGTTGAATATGTTATTTTCAACTCCTAACCTCAGGTGTTTGAAAAATAGCATTTTGTCGATCTGTTTTTGAGAACCACTGGTTTAAAGGTAAGTTAGAATAGGAAAGACCATTTAGAAAATTAATGTGGTAGCCCAAATCTGAGATGCTAAAATGTAGCCAGTGGGATCAGAAAGATTTGTTTAAATCTTATTAATTAATTAGATTTCATGCACATTGTTTTTATATAGGAAAAGAAGAGAGGATTCATGTTCTCAGTCTAAAAGAAGTGATTCAAAATAGTGATAGAAGGAATACTTAGTTAATCCTGAAGAGTGAGGACATTGTTTTACTTGAGATTAAAGAATGAGAGAATAAAATTAGTGCCAACTTTGTTTCAGTCAAAAAGTATGCCTTTGCCGGGTAACTTACTTATTTGAAGGCTGAAAAAGAAAGAGTGAACCAGCCTGATAGTCTATGTAGGTTGAGTGACTAATGCATAATTTTTATTGTTGATTTTGTTTGATTTTTTAATTACAACAGACTTTAACACTACTTTTTGGAAGATTTTTGTTTTTTTTTCCCTGCCCTTGGACAAGAGAATTTACCAATGAAGTAAGTTTTTCATGTCACATGTTGAGTCAGTAAATACTTACATTTAGCCAATGATTTTCAAACTATTCTTTAGGAATCCTTAGGTTTTTAATGGAACTTACCTGGTAGGTGGGAGGAAATGCAGGCAGGGACATTCCCCTGCCACCGTCTTTAACCATAGACGTTGCAGATAATGAGGTACCAATGCCTACTTTGCCCAATAAGAGATATCACTAATCACTGTGGCCACCTCCCATTGTATCTGGCTGTAGTTTTTGTAACATAACAAAGTTGACACTAACAATCATTGGAAAAGCATAGACTATTAAAATTATTTTTTATCCTAAAGTCAAAATAGATGATTAGATTTCTGTGTAAGATTTCATTTGTAGGAAAGTTTCTGTCAGTACTCAAAAAAATTTTTTGAAGGCCACAATTATATAGTCTCTTTTTAAATTTAAATTTAAATTTAAATTTTGAGGTAATTGGTAATTGTAGATTCACGTAACAATTGTAAGAAATAATAGAAATTCTGTGTATCCTTTCCCTGGTTTACTTAATGATTATATCTTGCAAAACTGTGGTACAATATGATCACAGTATTGACATTGATACGATTCACCCATCATTTTCAGATTTCCCCAGTTTTACTTGCACTTGTTGTGTGTATGTGTGTGTGTGTGTGTATGTTTATGTGTATGTATTTCTTTGCATTTTTATCACATGCATAGGTTCCTATATCCACCACTTCAGTTAAGATACAGAACAGTTCCATCACCACAAGGATCCCTTGTGTTGCCCTCTGATAACTACACTAATCTGTTCTCCATTTCTATGTCATTCAAGAATATTAGCTAAATGAAATTACACAGTGTGTGTGTGACATTTTGGGGGTTGCCTTTTTTTTTTTTTCCACACAGCACAATTTCCTTGAGATTCATCCAAGTTGTTGCATGTATCTGTAGTTCGTTCCTTTGTATTGCTAAGTAGTATTCCATTTAATGTTATTTTCCCATTTGGTAGCTACCACATAGTAACAAGCAGCTTCGTACTTTTCATTTTAAATATGCAGAATATGTTGTCTCTCAGTTTCTTTTGTTAACTTCCCTGACTCTGTTTTCTTTTATATTTCATTCCCCAACTCTCTTAGGACTGTTAGGAGCACAGTTGAAAAATTACTCATGTATGATAATTTTTTTTAACTGAAGGAATTTTAGGACCCATTGAAGTATGTGGTGTTATACTTTACAGTACTAACTACTTTTGTATATAAAAGTAACATTTTAAGAAATTGGGAAGATGTGATTATTCTTAAGTATGAAGATGTCTTTTTCTTCTTCATTTGTATATCAAGCAGTACATTCTAAGGTAATCTTGGACCATGGCAAGTAGAAAATGGGAATAGATAACTGTTTAGAATGAAATCACTTTTGTTACTTTACATATTCAGGTAGTAACAAAGACTAAACTCACTCTAAGAATAGTTTGTATGTGTAAGAAACAGAAGTTGTATGTTTCTATCTGGAAACTACATAGATACCAATCACTGAATGGCATAAAAGGCCACATTTTAGTAGATTTTACTAGTTTAGTGCTCTCCCACACTTTGGGGAGTGAAAAATACTATTTTAAAATAATAGCATGGTGCATTAAAAAACTGGATGGTATTGAAATTATTTTAACTCAAGGGGGTTTTGGGGTGGTGATGGAGGAGTGTGCCAGTACTTTAACAGGTTGAAGAATTGGTGTTTAGAATAGCTTCCCCAAACCCTGTTGGAAAGAATGGTACTCGACTATGTAATGCCAGACAGACAGTGCAGCATATTGTATTCACCATCAGCATTCCTTATCATTATGGTACATTTTTCATATTCGATGAGCCAACATTGGCACATCATTATCAATCAAAGTATATAGCTTATGTTAGGACTCACGCTTTGTGGTCATGGTTTTGTTTTTTGGTTTTTGTTTTTAAAGATTGTTCTTAATACTTTACTTTGATTCCAGTATCAAATCTCTGATGCTAAAGATAAGGTAAACTGGTTTGCAGGGTAGCCAGTATGGAGTACTGCCAAATACTGTCAGATTTGGGAAAGTGCTTCATTCTTGACTGTATAGAGGTGATTTGGTGCTCATTGGGTAATATCATGAGGGTTGCCATTGGCTTATTCTTTAAAGAGTTTAATCTTATTAGAGTCAATCTTGTTTTGATAAAAATTCTGTAAAAAGGGATCTCAGGGTCCGGATAAGCTATTTATTTTAACCATTACCCTTTACACAGATTTTCATTTTATGACAATAATTGAAACAGTGTGTTCAGAGTTTGTAATGAAGAGGTTTGGCTGTTGGCTTTTTAAGTGAAACGCTTCTGTCACATTCTCTGAATCTGCAGTCCAATACAGAAGCATCCTTTCTCCTTTACTGACAAGAATGCACTCTGGAATAGATTAAGCATTCGTAATAGTTTACTTGACTTTTACAGGTATAATAGCTGAGAGTTGTTCTCTGATACTCATCTTTTGAGGACTCTTCCTAAATATTTAATGTTACCTGGTAATCATAGCTAAGTCTTAACTGAGTGCCACACATAATCCTTGAAACAGTTCAGAAATATGTTCTATGATTATTCCTGTTTACAGATAAGGAACTAAGACTTCAAGAGAATAAGTTACCATTATTAATAAGTGGCAGAGTGAAAACTGAAGCAGTGCTATTTTGATACTGATTTAGTAGTAACAGTTGGAATTATACTAAAATATGATACAGTGAAACTGTGAAAACCTCATATGGAACAAGAAACTGTGTTTTTTGAACTTTGAGTTTTACATGTAGATTTCCATTTCTTAAGTAGGTCCATCAACATTAACCTTGACTACAGGAAGAAAGGTTTTTCT